TGGTTACAGGACCATCATCAGTACAACTTGACTTTGTAAAAACACACAGTACAGATAAAAACATTTTGTGTTGGGAGATGAACATCCTCCAGTCACACATTTAGGAGCCTGAAAATAGCAACGCATCCACACACACCTTTCTGTTCGTCAGAAGAGTCAGAGAGTTGCAGCTGTGTTGCTTTGATTGGAAAATGTTGTGCAGCTGTTGAGGCTCCAACTGTTCAGCCCTGGAACAGGACAGGTAAAGGTCAGGTCAAGTGTTTATTGACATATGCACAGTGAGGAAATGTGTTTCCCTGTACAATGAAATTCTTAGTTTGCCATCCACACGAATGCCACACAATACAAGTGAAATATAATGCAGATACATAGGTAACACAAAATCTAAACCTCAAAATCTAAGGCACTGTAAAACAGCAGATGAAGGAAGCATAATAAAAAATACAACAAGAACACAGCAGGTGGCAGCAGAGCCCTGCACTCAGTCTGCACAAAAGGACCTAGAAAAAAGTGTTGACTCCAGGAAAATCATCCTAAAACTTACTTTGATTCAGTCACATTCCTGGAGGCAAAGAGCAATTCTGAACATGAGTGCATTAATGAGATTATGTTGATTACATTAAAAAATGTAACTACTGCTGAGGAGCCTCCCTCACTCAGCTTTCGGTTTCACCATTCCAGTTCACTGAATCTGAAAATCTACGGTTTTGTGATGTCCTATTGTAACTACACAAGGGCTGGATGACAGCTTCCATCCAGGGTGCGTCTGTCTCTTGCCCAACTGTTCCTTTTCAGGTATGTAACAACCAGCAGGGCAGCTGAGGACACGGTCTCAGTGATAGCTGCTCCACCCAGGCTTCCCTGTTGGGAACATGCTTCCCTTATTTTTCTCTGTTTTAAAGGTGACAAAAAAGTGCTATAAATATCACAGTTACACTTAATGGGTAACAATAACCATATTCTGAATCTGACCAAAATACATTTACACCTTAAACAAACAAACAAATGAAAAAGCAGAAGCTGTGAGAATCTCTCCATGATCTGTAGCCACATTTGTTTCATGTCTCTAAATATGCCTCATAATTATGTGGTCAAAAACAGTGGTCCCCAACCCCCGAGCCGCGGACCGGTACCGGTCCGTGGATCAATTGGTACCGGGCCGCACAAGAAATCATTAATTATTTCCGTTTTATTTATTATCTGCGTCTGAACGATCTTTTATTTTGAAAAATGACCGTATTCTCTCGGTTACATCTCGGTCGAGCGCCAAAACTGGCTTACTTGTGGACATATTCAGCCTGCTCAATGAACTCAATCTGTCACTTCAGGGGAAAATGACAACTGTCTTCAAGTTGGCAGATAAAGTAGCTGCATTTAAAGCCAAACTGGATTTGTGGGGACGGCGCGTCAACAGAGGCATTTTGGACATGTTTCAAACATGAGACTTTGGGTGAGACTGAGCCTGAGTCTTCATTCTCCCAGCTGGTGCACGATCACATGTCTTTGCTTTTAAAAGAGTTCGAGCGCTACTTCCCAACCACAAAGGACCCACGAACTGCCAAGGAAGGGATCCGCAACCCATTTGTCAACAAACCAGGTGAATCCAGCAGGTCTGTGCAAGAAGAAGATCAACTGCTGGAGATCGCAAATGACGGCGGCCTTAAAAGTATGTTCGAGACAACAACTCTGCCGGTGTTCTGGATTAAAGTCATGACAGAATACCCTGAGATCGCCACCACAGCACTGAAAACCCTGTTGCCATTTCCGACATCCTATCTGTGTGAAGCGGGTTTTTCTGCAGCGACGGCAACCAAAACAAAACAACGGAGTAGACACACTTCGGGTGTCATTGTCTCCTATTATGGGACCATCTCGTTGCAGAGAAACAAGTTCAGGGCTCCCATTGATTTAGCGTTATGGGGAGTTAAAAATTTCAACACAGTGGATTCATGTTTATTATTATATTAACAATATAAACAACCTACGTACCGCCGCGGTAAAATTGTCGAGCGTTGACCGGTCCGCAGTGATAAAAAGGTTGGGGACCACTGGTCAAAAATATGCAAAACACACTAGTGTACCACACAACTGTGCAGCTGTGATAGAGTGTGTACAATAACAAAAATAACACAACTGCCAGGTGCAAAATAGCAAGATTTTAATTCAATTCAATTAAACTTTATTTGTATAGCGCCAAATCACAATAAAAGTCGTCTCAGAAGACTTGACAAAGTAAGGTCTAGACCTCACTACTATTGTTACTCTTGTTGCATTCCGATTCTTTATACCATGCTAACTCTGAGAGACGAGGCAGTGCAAGTAGCTTCAAAACAGTGCTGATTTATTTAGTGAACACAGGTAAAAATTAACATTACACGCTCAAGTATCTTGCACCTCCAACATGCACGCAGGCAGATGTAAGATGAAAGACCCCAAACACAACAGGCCTAATACATTATATCACCTCGGGCTAAGCCCATACTAACAGGAGACGCCAAGCCGTGACGTCTCCCAGGGTCAGCTTTGCAGCTGGCCAAAGCAGTAGCCAAAACATGAGGAAAAATCAATGTGTGTGTGTCTGTTGATTGTGGTGTGTAGCTAAAAAACATTCTAACACGACCTCTAGTGACATGTCATAACATTGAACATAAGAAAATATGGCTAAGGCTACAGTTATACACGTCATAATAATAATATTAAACATCCTGTCTGCTGACAGTCAGACTTTTCTATCTAGTTATCCTTGACCATAAGCATCCTGTAGCATTCATGAGACTGGCTAACTAGACATCCTGTCTACTCTAAACATTTCTAATACAAGTATCTGACCAATATCTATCTGACTAAAAATACCTAACACTATACTGTTTTACTTAAGCCAAAACTAATAAGTATTGTTCATACAATGCACAGAGGTTAGTGAAATGTGTCACTTTGCAGAGTGAGCGAGGTCTAATTAGATAATCAAATCAATCCAGTTCTTACAGCTGTTGTTTTCAGCTAAGGCTGCTGTCGGGTCACCTTGACTACTCCAGTGCTATTTAAGCTGGCGTTAGTCAATCCTCCATTGCTTGATAACAGCTGGCTCTGAAGGAGGAAGCATATTTCGCCTGCTCTGGCCTCTGTCCTCTGGCTCCCCATTCATTTCAGGATCCAGTTTAAAATTTTATTAATGGCTTTTTGAGCAAAAAAGGTATAGCTCCTCCCTACCTTTCTGACCTTCCCTGCCCTTTTATTTGTTCTTACATGTCTGTCTTATGGTATGGTTTTATGATACAGCACTTTGATCAACTATTGCTTGTAAATTAGTCTAGTAAATAAATAGACTAACATTTTCCAGCCTTCCTACACAAGGCTTTGTCATACTATTCTTGCACACAATGTCTGGGTCATTCCTCTTTGTTTTCAAGGTGTGCACAGTGTCATTTATGACACTGCTCAGAGACATGTCTATTCGGTTGCTTTATTTTTGACTCTTTCATAACTTTACCTAATGAGTTTCTTGTAAAAACAGCAACAATGTGGTTACAGCTGGTCAGTAAATGTGTGGTTAAAAAATGACTACATTGTATTTGTGAGGGAAGAGGAAGTGAACACTGTCATGTTGAGGTGTCACATATTCGTCTGACAGCTAAACTTAAGAGACTAAGACCAGTGGCTAAGGTTAAACACTTTCTTTCTTTTATTGATCTTGAAAAGGCAATTCATGCCTTTATTAGTTCTAGACTTGATTATTTTAACGCACTGTATACTGGCATTTCTCAAGCTTCATTATCTCGGCTCCAGTTCGTCCAAAATGCAGCTGCTTGTCTTCTTACTAATACAGGACGCCATGAGCACATAACCCCAGTTCTTGCCTCACTCCATTGGTTTCCTGTCCATGGTGTAGAACCTTCCAATATCTCTGATCTCTTACATTTTTATGCTCCAGAGAGGACATTTAGGTCTTCCAATCAGTTATTCCTGGATGTACCTAAGTGCAGACTAAAACATTGGGGAAACCAAGGTTTTGCAGTATGGGCTCCTATACCGTGGAATTGTCTATCATGGGATATTAGATCTGCTCTTAACCTGCCTGTTTTTTGATCACTCCTTAAAACTCACTTGTATTTGCAGGCCTTTAGCAACATCTCTGACTGATTGTATTTGTTTTTGATTGTGCATTTTTGTTATGTTATTGTGTATGTGTGATTTATCTGGTTTTATTCTTTTCTGTTTTACTGCAAAGCACCTTGTAACTGAGGTTTAGAAAGGTATTATATAAATAAATTTTGCTTGCTTGCTACCTGTTGGAATTAATTTCACTACTTTGGGACTATATGTGGTCATGTGGGGGAAGACACAGCAACCACCGGTTGTATTTACCGACCTTGGAGCTACTTGAAAGGGAGCAATGTTTTCACTGCTTGGTGGGACATAACGTTAAGACTAAAAAACACATTTTCGTGTCTGTTAATGCCTTGTTTCTGTAACATTAGAGAGAATTGTTGTAAGGCTAGAGAAGTTACTATGTCTTCATTATGCCAGTTAAAACATGGGGTTTCTCAGTTACCTGCTTTGTTTAGAGTGTTACACATCTCTTTTCATCGGTACATAAACCGTTGTTCACCTATTTGACTATTTGGGTTTATGAGGGATGCAAAGCTAATTTATAGGCACCCGAGATTAAACATTAAATGGCTGGAAATGAGCAAAATGAGTGTCATGGGCTCTTTAATAAATTATGACATTAGAGATAATTTGTTGACATGAACATACAGTAGAAAGCTCAAAGTAGTCTGAATCAGAACAATTACACAACACCTCCACAGGCCTCAGTTGTAATTTCTGATGCCAGTGACCAGTATCTCTCACACACACACACACACACACACACACACACACACACACACAGAGCAAAATAAATATTTGATTATTTAAGACATCTTAGGGTCTTCATCCATATCCTTCAATTTGTACCCCTTTACTACAGGATCTGCAAAGCATTAGGCGCCTTTAACAATATCAGTGAAGTGCATATGTCATCACAGCCATAATGACTGAGAGGAGACTGATTTTGCTCATGAGGGCAGAGGATGAAGCTGTGATTGTTGATCCAGTGGTTGTGGTTGTTGTTGTTGGAGCAGATGTGGTTGTGGTTGTGGCTCCAGCAGCTGTGGTTGTTGATTCTGTGGCTGTTGTTGTTGGAGCAGGTGTGGTTGTTGCCTGTGCATTGCTAGAGGCTGTTTTGAGCAGCAAACATTTGATCAGTTTCACATTTTGTCTCATATTTCAAACAAAGAATGTTATAGGAATCTAATAGGAAAGGTAGTTTCTCTTACCAACAAACAAAAGAAGGATGGCACATATTTTTGCAATCATAGTTACGTTGTTGTTTCTCTTCTCTTTTATCTAAAAACTAAAATTGTAATTTTTATTAGATAAACATCATTTCTCAAACTGATTTATTTACACTTGATATATGTGTAAAGGGTAGATTTAGGAGGTTTAAATAACAATAGCATTGTTTTTAAATTTACATTTCATTTTTCATACATATAATGCAGTTGAATAAAAAGAAAAGACAAATACAATAAATCAAAATAGACTAATATATTACTTTCTTTAGTGTACTGTGTAAAACACCTAATTTTTCTAAAATTCAAAACTAAATAGAATTATAAAAATCATAAACATAAAAAAAATTCAAAATGTTTTAACTCAAATGTCCTTCCTAAAAAAGCTATTCATTTATATCTGAGTAATATATTAATATCAAAAGTACTTACAGTGTTGAGTGTTGTTCACTGCACCGTTGTGATTTTCTCACCTATCAGCTCCTCTTTTATAAGAAAAACACAGTGACATGAGTCATGTTCACCATCATGGTTAAAGGTGTGTACTGAAACATTTCAGCTGCACCTAGCCTCTACTTTTGTTCTGCTGGTTTCATCAACGTAAAAGGTTAGTAGCAGACAAAACATCATTCCTGCACTAGGACATTTTTCTGGCATGACATTTTACTTTATAGCACGTATTTGACTGTTACACCTGGTTTAGTTTTACTGTCCATTTAATTATCATACACTATTTGGGTTTCTGTGAAATGTGTTATGTACTCCCTAATAAAATCTTCACATAATCACTCCATGTAGAGTAACAGAAGGTGAAGATGGAATGATAGTTTTAACTTGACTGGATCAGAAAACCAGTTTATTTGCTTGGCAAAAAAGCAGTCTGACATTCTGACAAGATTTGGAGACTATCAGCCATTTTACAATTTCATCTCTTCAACCTGTTCAAAAGCATCAGGCAATCACAGTTTTGAGGTTGCAGGTTCATTAATGACCCTGGAACTGTTAGTTAGATTTGTTTTAAAGATTCTGGAATAGAATTGTTAAAAAAAGATCCTTTTTGATCCAAAGGACAATTGTTGACAACTCATCTTATTCACTTGTTGAAATATTTAATTTATTGGATGAAACTGAGACGTGTCAGAAAAAACTAATTATTGTAGAAAACGAAAAGGTTTGTTTGAAAAACTGTCATTTGTATATTGAGGCAAATGTCTAGAGACCACCTAACAACAATAATAGAAGGGCTAAGAATTAATATATTTCAGTGATACCAGTTGGCAGAATATTCTTGTACTTTAATTGTTCCTGGGTTCTTCTTGTGCTTGTACTCCCTCTGAATATAATGCAGAGATTATACAAAGTAATTTCAGCGCATACAAGGGACGTCTAGAATCTCTCAGCAGAATTATACAAAGTTCACTTTCTCAAGTCTTTACCAACATGCAGTCCAGTAACACAGTACAAAACATTAACAGCATTTTACTATTTGTTTAGATGTGTAACAGACCAAATTACATTCCACTCTAATTAACTATCATTTTGTTTTACTTGTTTGCTTTACTAAGAAAGTCACTTTCGGCTTTTCCCGTTTAGGGGTCGCACCCAGCAAATCGTCACACTGACGACTCGCATGTTGACATTTGGCACGTGTTTTACGCTGGACGCCCTTCCTGATGCAACCTGGATTCGCGGAGAGAACCACTAGCCTACAAGACATGGCCAACTAATGTATGAAAATGGACTTTTCCTGCTG